AAGGTCTTCCCGGAGGGGATTGCGAATGTACTGCCAAGAAAAAATATAAGTGTGACATTACAAATCGGGATGTTCTCATCAATCCTAAGAGTAAATATTTAGTAATCTGAAATTGTATTATTAAGAGCAACAATTTTATTTGCTGAAAAAAACTCGACAAAATTATAGTAACATGCAAGAAACTATACATAATATTTTTATGTAATATACAAAGATATATGTATAAGATTTTTCTATCGTGCAAAAAGAAAATTCTTTAGAGCCAATCTGAAGTTTATCTCAAAATAAAAGTTAATAAAAATCTGATTGAAATCACCATCTCGTTTGTAGCAATTTTGTTATAAATTGAATCTTTGTCTTTCTTGTTATGTTTTTCTGAATCTCAAATTGTTTAGCAGAGAATCTGTCATCAATTGTACATTTCTATTTACTTGGACTTGACAAGAGCAACGAGTCTGTGTTCGTTCATTGAACCGAGTTTCTTTCTCGCCGGTATTTACAACGCTGTAACGATGCCGACCAGATACTTGTTGCCGTATTCCTGCTTCGCCATATTCTTCCTCGCAATTTTTCCCCGCTTACAACGCGGCCCAACTTTTTATTCACTCCTCTCTTTCAGCCGCCCTCTCAGTCTTTCTCCCTCCAGCGGCCCTTCCATCCGTCCGTATGATCATGCCATTCCACGGCGATGATCCTCTGCTCACCAGGGCTTATATAGCTTCCACCCCTTTTGCCACCCTCTCACGGCACATATACACCGACGAAATGCGCTCGCGTACCTTAAAAGGGACGTGCACACAACACGGTCTGCCACTGAGCGTTATTGCGCCATGGTGTTAACGAATGTCCACGCGATTCGATACACCGAGTCCGTGTCCATTCGACTGGCAAGATATTGGCGTGTAGCTGGTACTTGCGGGTTGACAAGTCGCGTTCAACAAATGTGATCGGGACGATGGATCATATATGGATAAAAAAGAGGAAATTGCTTCTTTTTATGCTACTTGAATATGAATAACAATTTCAGAATCAATTTGCTTAAGCTCGAAATTAAAGCTTTCGTTTCTACATATAAGTAAGGTATTATGAAAGATTATACAATACGTACATATATAACTTTTTAGGATTCCTTTATTATAGAAACAAAAGTTTCAATTTCGAGGATAAGTAAACATTTTTCATTTCGTAAAAGTTTTTGAAATTTCGAGAAACTACAAATTATTTAAATAAAATACATCCGATTGTTTTGTAAATCCGTGAAGGTTCTTTAATTTCTTTAATATAAGACAAATCTTTATCGGCAATATAAATTTTATATTTATTATTTGTACTGTGTTTTTCTCTTTTCTTAAAAATGGAATTTATAACAATAATAAATATTAATAAATTCTAGACAATTTAAAAAATTGAACATGTTTTTTTTTAAGGGAAATTGGATTGAAAAATATATTATATGTGTGAATGAAAAATTTTCAAAACAATATCAGATACATACTATTGTCTGCTTGACGTATGGTAGATATTTTTAGCATTAGTAGAGTAGAGCTTTATGCGTGAAGCTTCAGAAGGGATATTTTTCCGACGAGCTGGTTTTTCCCCGTATATCTTAGGATATACTTGCATGTATCTCATTTTGACGCTCAACATAACGCCCTTTGCCTTCTCTTTTTTAATGCTTTTTTTCTTTTTCTCTCTTTCTCTCTTCTTCTTCTGATAAAAAGATTTTTTAAAATGTTGATACTCCGTGCTTACGCAAATGATAGGAAGTAGCTGCTGTAGTTTGCGTCACTTTATAATAGATCGAGTTAGTGTTGTAGTGTTAGGAAGGGATTTAAATATCGAGTTACAAGTTTTTTCATTATGTCATCCAATTCAAGCTGGCAAATTAGTTTGTAATCTTATTTCAGGAAAAATAAGTACATTTTTATTTAAAATTGTTAAATAATTAAAGAGACGTATTTTTCTCAAAATAAAGAACCTAATTGGACAATTTTTGATATTGCACATTACTATATAATCTATAAAAATAAGAATTTATATAAAATTATATATAAAGCAAACATTATATAACTTTTTAAAACTATAATTAAAATTATTAATTATTAATTAAATACTAATTTTTGAAACATTAATTAATTAAACAAATAAATAAAATTAATGTTCTTTCAAATTTTTTTTCTTATATACATATATGTAATTATTCCATATTATGATTAACAAAAAATATCTGATATGCTGTGACAGCGAACTTTTATTTTTGTGAAAAGATTTCATTTACTGTTATTCTAACATCACTATTCTCGATTTTTTTCATATAAACGGAACGGCTGAATTTTTAAATAATTACACAGGTGGTTGGTTCTTTTTTCATGAACGGTTTCACAATAGCTTCGTAAAATAGAAGTACAGCAATAACGGGGACAAGTATTTACGAATGATTTCACGGTAGGTCTACACAAGAAGGATGCTCACGAATAACGAGGACAAGTATTTACTCTGGGGAACATTGAAACAAAGGATCTCATACCACATTCTTTATTCTCGCGGTTTTCTTAGATACTTACACTAGGGACCTGCCGTCGCAATAACGTTAGCGTGGGATTCATCAATTTGTAAAATTTTCTGGAAGTGAAGTTGACGGATGATGAGAATAGAGAGCTGTTCTTTTGCAAGTTTTAATATATATGTATATGGAAATAAAAATATTCAAACTTATAGATAGAACTGAAAAAATTGCACAATGTATAAATAATATTAATGAAGTAAATATTTAGTTTTTATATAATAAATGAGAGAACACAATTTTAATTTTTATCTACTATCTATTCTAGCTTTCGGACATAAACTCGTTTATTATTCAACTTTGTAAATTTGCAATTTTCGTAAAAATCGGCTCTTAGCCGACGAAAATTAATTAGAAAATTATATTGTACATTTGTAGATAAATCCATGATAAGTCTATAAACTCTATTGTTATAATATATCGTTCAAATGGAAACATGTCCAGATCGAAATATTTTGTTCGCATTTTCATGGATTATATAAAAACATATGTATTTTATGATTATATAATGCTCGTCGACGTTTTGAATGCAGACAATTTCTTTGATGTTGATGAAAGTATGAGAATCACGCGGGTCATATATTTAAACGACTTTATCCCTCGCGAGAATTCCAGCTCAGTCGAACTTCAGACGCGAAATAATCTATGACTCGTGTTCTCTACTGAAACGACCTGCTAAAGCTATCCTTGGAGTTCTCATTCAACCTTACAATAGTATGACATAGGGTTGGAAGTATTCGGAACTACATACTATTGGTAGCTTATGCATGAAGTGTTTGCATTATTTTACATTCAAATATCAGATTGAATTTCTATTTTCATATGATATTTATATGTATGTATAGTATACTATGTATATACATATATATAACATCAAGTTGAATGTTATATTATCAGGTTTGTAATAGAGCTGCAAAATAGGATTTTATTTTATATTAATATTAAATGTTAAATATTAATTATCTTGTTTTGTGCACCAAAGAGCCATATTAATTAAATATTTAAAATACATTTGCTATGTTTTTTGTGATATTTTATTTTTTTTTACATTTTAAATATTGAAATTGAAAAATTTATAATATCATATTATATGTTATACATATGTATATAGAATATATATATATATATATATATATATATATTAAGAATTCACAAAGCAATTAATTATATAAATGTTAAATAAAATTGACGAGAAAGGAACAATGATAAAATTATAAATATGAAAATATGTAGAATCTAAAATCATCATATAAAAGATGGATATTCTTTAACAAGCAATTGAAACAGTTTCAATATGAATAAATTTTTGCATATTTCTTTGATTTGCAAAAGAATGAACAAAGATAACTTAAAAACAAAAATAAAGAAGCTTTTATATTGTATAAAGAAGTTTTTATATTATTTGTCAATAAAGTTTACTATATTTTAATTTACTTTTTTTCAAGAATTTTAATTTATCAAAAAAAAAAAAAAAAAGCGCGTGGGAAATGATTAAAGGAAAGCGTGTGAATATATTGCTTTGAGGGGGTGATATCAACAAAAACAGTTTGATAACTCTAATTCAAAGTAAATCTTTGTTATAAATTATAAAAAAAAGAGATCGTCGCGCGCAATTTCAAACTATTATTGTGGAGGTTCCGATCGATTGCTTGAATAATTTAAAACAGGTTCGCCCTCTTTAAGGCATACTCTCCCACTTTTTGCCTACCGGCGATGAGACTGACTACGCGGGGGTTGAATGCGGTTCCATTCATGCTTATTTCAAGCTCATTGTGCGCCTGGTGTATTCAGCCTTTGATTCGCTTCTCGTGTTACTACTGTAGCGAAGCTTCGGAGAGTATAGGACCGTGTATGTCGCGCTGTGTAGAGAATCAGGAAATACCGGTGTCATATTTTCTTCGATGGTAACAACAAACATGCAGCTGCGAAGGAATAGGAACATTGCGATTCACCGAACTATCGAACTTCTCTTTATGCGTAAAACGTGTGAATTTACACGTGTGAATAGAAATAGTCATATCGATAAATGGAATTGTTCCACACTTTCCTCTTGATCTGTAATTACGTAAATATTTCATACTTTATTTGTATATCGTTATTTATTTTTATAATATAATTATTTATCTTTATAATATAATTAGGTGCGATAGTCGTGTTTATGGTAATTTTCACTTTCCTCTTGATCTGTAATTATGTAAATATTTCATACTTTATTTGTATATTGTTATTTATTTTTATAATATAATTATTTATTTTTATAATATAATTAGCTGCAATAATCGTTTTTATATTAATAATAAAAATTGATGAAGGAATTTTACTGTTGTAATGGATTGGTCGATCCGTCTTCTATGTCTCTGTGTCTGTGTACTGATACATTCAACATTTTATTTCTCGCGTAATTGATAAAAAAACCATCATTGTCCACATTTTTTAGGAAACTGAAGAGACAACGGGAGCGTCTATGTCGGTACGTGTACAACCAGATTTTGACAGCAGAATGTACTCAGTTAAATAGAACATGGCCTGACCCGGATGACCCGCGCTGGAACAGTGGTGAATACGCGGAACTTCTGCCCGACTGGTTCCCGACAAACGCGACGAATGCCTCGGCTTTCGGAAATGCAACGACTTCGTCGACGTTGGGTAATGTAATTGAGATTAAGTTTCGCATCATGCGACTTGCGAAGGACGTATTATAAGTTATGTAGGGAACATTCGCAGACAAAAACATTTCCTTTTACGAAAACGTAACAAGCTTTTTCCAAATATGTTAGAGTTTGTACGCGTTAAAACATTACGTACATTCGTTAATATTGTATTATTTTGTCATAGACGTACCATGTTAATATCATGCATTAATTAATTAATTGACATGCTGTTCTCTGATAAAAACTTTACATGTATTAATTAGATGAATCTCTGACGCCCGTTTTGCCACCATTCACGCTCTGGCAGACGGTTCTGATTGCTATCTGTCTGGCAATATGCATACTGCTAACCATTGGCGGCAATATCCTCGTTCTTCTGGCATTTATCGTAGATAGAGCCATCAGACAACCGAGTAATTATTTCATCGCGTCATTAGCTGCCACTGATATGCTTATCGGTAAGTTCTACGGTATTTCATTTTCCTCTCCCCTTGTAGTAAACGTCGCGTCGTTCTATAGAAGCGATATCGTATCTGAATATATCCTGCGAGATATCTAAATTACACACATATTTATGTATATTAAGAGAGCGAACGTCTAAAAAAAATCAATAAAAATATACACATTATTTTTACAAAAGAAATAAAGCATTCTTGAAAATTAACACATAAATAAATATAAATTGTTTAAGAAGCATTATTGAATATAATTAAATTAATAATTTCATAATTTTTAAATATCAATAATTAATTTCTTGAAATGTGATTTTCGAAAGTTGTGTTGAACTTGATATTATTTATAAATCCGTATGTTAATAATTTTTCTCATACTTTATATGACTCGAAATTGCATTGCAGTATCACTTTTATTGTGAAAAATAATTTATATTGCTATAAATATATATTTCTATATCAAAATTTTTGTCGTTCAAAATTGATTTTATTTCAGTCGCGATAATAAATATGTATGAATCGCTATTTACATACGGATAGACTCGCTACATTTCAATTTGTATTCTTCGAAATTTAATGCAATGTTCGTGATTGTTCGACAAATTTCTAATGCAAATCCTTTAATCATGAACAGAGCGCCCGTATGTTCATCACGATGAGAATCATATAGAGATGTAATTTCGTTATCGCGAGATCTCTGCTCGGATGCAGAATACGCGTAATCAGATACACGCGGCAACAGGAACCAACTATATAGGTAACGACGTAATTGTTGTACAGGCACCGTGTCGATGCCATTCTACACAGTCTACGTGCTGATGGGATATTGGAATCTGGGACCTCTTCTCTGCGATCTATGGCTGTCAGTGGATTATACAGTATGCCTGGTGTCTCAGTATACGGTTCTGCTAATCACGATCGATCGATTCTGCTCGGTAAAGATAGCCGCGCAGTATCGCAGCTGGCGAACGAAGCAGCGCGTGATCTGGATGGTGACCATTACCTGGATCATACCGGCGCTACTGTTTTTCATCAGCATCTTCGGCTGGGAGCACTTCATCGGTTACAGAGATCTGAATCCGGGCCAGTGCGCCGTACAATTCCTCAAGGATCCGGTGTTCAACACCGCGCTGATAATCGGATATTATTGGACGACTCTGATCGTCCTGTTCATTCTTTACGGCGGCATATATAAGACCGCCTACGACATGCAAAAGAAGAGCGAGGCTAAGCAGCGGAAGATGCAGTCGATGGTCGCGCTGAGCGCCGGCGCGATGTCCGGTATGGCCGGTCGTGCCGCTGGTATAGGTATTTCCAAGACTCAGAGCACGTTGTTGAGTCAGGACAAGCCAAAGATCGGCGTCACGGCGGTGGACGATGATTCTACCATTGGTGGGGACGCGACGGCTACGCAGAAAATAATCGCGAAGAGCGTCGATGCCGTAAGAGGCGCGTCGGATGCGGCGAATAAAACTATCACCGCGAGTATCACGGTGATGGAAACCGAGAAATCCGAACGCTCCAGCAGCCCGGCGTTCGATTCCGACGAGGAAAGCACCGCCGGCAACGCTCAGCAACTCAACACCATCAGAAAACGATCCTCATTAGCAGGCTTGGTAGCTCAATCCGGCGCTCTTCAGGTCTTCGCCTCAAATGGACGTCTCAACGGCATCGGGCCGGTCAAGGTCGAGCTGAGTGTACCAACGACGAGAAGATTGTTGCCGACGACCAGTCCTACGCGCGACGTTGCGACGCAGAAAGCTCAAACACTGCCCAAGATACAGGAGCTCAGTCTCCTGGACACCGACAATCCGGTCGAGCCCGACAAGTCCAGCAGCTGTACGCTAACGCCCGAGCAATCCTTAAAATCGAACGACGCCGACGGCAATCAACAATCGATTACCTCGCTCGAGGCAACGCCGCCCGCTCAACTTAAACGCGCGTCGATCAATAGCGTTCAGCAGAACATCATCCCGCCGCCTACGCAGTTCCAAAGCAGTCCGCCCGTGTCGGACAGCCCGACGACGTCCTCGTCGACCGACAGGCCCAGGTCGTTGATCGTACGTACCCACGGTCAAGGCACGTACGATATTCTTACCGGTCTCGACGGTGGTGATTTACGATACATGGACGAGAGCTCCATCATTCTGCCTAGTCCCTCTTACGAGAGTCCGCCGTCTTCCTTTTCCTGCAGTTTGGCGAATCCATTGTCGACGGCACCTCCGTCGCCTAGCCTGGGCAACGCCGTGCCAGCCGGCGCGAGCACCAGTTTGTTGCAAACCGCTCTTATCAGGGCAACGGCGCAGCAAACTGGTACCTGTCAACTAGCGCAAAGCAAAAAGCATCATCAACCAACGATGTCGAATGCATCGAGTCAAACGCATCCGCCGCGCGTGTTCATCACACATCAGACCAACGTCGCGTCGCAGACCTCGCCTATCAGCAAGGTACACACGGAGGTCTCCGTTAAGGCCGACAAGACGAAGCATCAACCCGTTACTACGGTGGTAACGACAACCGTGGCTGTTCCGCTGGATTCGTCCAACAGCCCGACGGATCGATTCTCGGATCAGCCTACTAAAGGGAGTAGTACTCTACCACAAAACTCGTCGTCCAGCAGCATAATGCCGATGGTCTCGGTTACAAACAGTCAGGAGACGAAGGTCCAGTCCAAGAAGAAGAAAGAGACTTCGGATACGGAGCAAAGCGGCTCTAGACGGGATTTTGTTAAATCCATCGGGAAACGATTGAAGGCCAAAACGCAGAAGAAAGATCCCACGATAGGTCGGCAAAAATCACGAACGGAGAATAGGGCGCGCAAAGCCTTTCGTACGATTTCCTTCATTCTGGGCGCGTTTGTCGCTTGCTGGACCCCTTATCACGTATTAGCGCTAGTGGAGGGATTCTGCGCGAATCCACCGTGCACGAACGAGCACCTTTTCATGTTCTCATATTTTCTGTGCTACGCCAACAGTCCCATGAATCCATTCTGCTATGCTATGGCGAATCAGCAGTTTAAGAAAACTTTCACCAGGATACTGAGGGGTGATCTGCATATGACGTAAGGCACCGCAAACCGTATCAGGATATACTCTCGTCTCGATAATGTAGCTAATTGTAGCCAACCACGGACTCTTTGCATAGAGAAGATGGCCTTCCATACTTGATACCGAATTATACTCACACGTCTGTAAAACTGTGTTGAACTCCGGACAATAATAAAACGAGAATAAAAATGTTAAGACTTGTCGGCGAAGTCAGATGTTACCCGCCTTTTGTACATAATTTATCGTTAGCGCGCACGAGCCGATCAAAAGTCGTATTCGTATGTATATATGCTGTACACATGTGTGAATATATTTATTAATGTGCGTAATGTGTAATGTGCTGAGAATGTACGCCTAGGTGTATATGTACAAGTAGCATTAAGCAAAATTATATGTGTACCATGATAATAAATACACGTTGCTAAATCGAATGCATTCCTAATATTTGCGATTCAAACGGAATAATGATCCGTATGCTAATGTAATATCATAAAGAGAGCTTGCGAAATTTAACGCTACGTAGGACGCACGTTAATTAAAATAATATAATAATGAAATCAATAGTAAAAAATTTTAGTCGTAGAATCGAACGAAAGTATCGTTCGTTACGAAAGACGAAAAGTGAAGATATTAAATATATAAAATATTATCCGACTATTTATCATATATGAATTCCGCCGTATTAAAAAATAGAAAATCTTTTCTCGGTGCAATAATTTCGCGCGCTACGTTATGTATTAATTTCCACCTCACGTGTTATTTGGCATGTTACATTTGTGTGTATGTGTGTGTATTCACGAACAACGTATCAGCTCGAGATAGCTCGCCTCGTAGAAGTACCGAGCAATTGACGATTTTCTTATGGCTCTCGATCATAGATCGGAATATACACTGCCTTGAGATGGCCTAATGCGCAGGCCTTTCCTCTTCGAATTTTGTGACACTTGGTACTCTTCGTGCAAACGAGCTCCCATCGATGTCTGATTAATGTTTTGCGACATTATTTGTATTTGTCGTGATGATGTGGAAAATATTTTAATGAATTTTTAAAATTAATTATTTAGTTCATATGTTGGCCAATCATTTCCGTTTGAATAATTAACATTTTTTATTATTTATTATATATATTTTGTAAGTTATTTGTATTATTATTATATGTATGTTTTTTTAAATTGTAATTTAATTGAGCAATTTATTATGCAAGTGTAAACAATTAAAATTTACTAGCAAATTATAAATATAGTTTGCGACATCATAAGTTTTGCTTTAATATTTTTAAAAACAATGTTTTTATCTTTTTTTATTCCAAACGCTGCGTATTTCGCAATTACTATAAATTATTAAAAAAGGAAATCAAGAAGTTGTAGCAATTCATATCTATATACCTCGTTATATCTTAATAAATAATATTTGCATAGTGACATTACTTTTTTATGTTATTTTTATATTTTGATGCAAATGAGTAAAAAATATAATTACATATACACATGTAAAATTTAAAAAAATCAAAATTATAACTTCTGTTAATTAATATAAATATATAAAATGAAATAAAATATATAAAAAATGTATATGATATACAATATATTAAAAGTAGCTGCAATGTGTGCTTGTAAATGATATAAAAGTTAGGAACAGTTGATAAATTAAGTCTAAATTTTACATATTGTGTCAGATTCCAAAAATTAATTAACAATTAAGAAAGTAAGTGGATCAAGTAATTCACATTTTTATATTTATATTACATTTTTATGAAAGTTTAGTTATTACAGCAAATAAATTGTTAATTATCGTTACATCATCTTTATTATTAATTAATTGGTTTGATAGTAAAGTGCATTTATATATCGCTTTATGATTTATGTGCAATACTTATTACATCAAATTACTATGACTATTAATCAAATTTTTATGTCAAAAATTTTTAAACAAATAAATATTTTATTTAAAAAACATATTTTCTTCATCCAATTGCTTTTTCATCTTCGTATCAATGTACAATTTGACAAAAAGGACAATATATTAAATTGGATATATCATTGATATATCTCTAAGATAGCTTTTAATTAGTCGTTGTTTAAATAAAAGTCTGACAACATGCATTGTCAGTTTAAATAATTAAAATTCTAGAACTATGAGAACTCTTGTTACAATATGCTATAAAGTTAGACGAATAGAAGAGATAGTTAATTGAATATCACGTCGATTTTGTGCTCGTGTCGATCCTTGTGAAAAATGCGCAGTTTTCTTGTATTCTTATTTCTATGTTTCATCTAAATCTAACGCGTCCAATAAACCAATATAGTTTTTAGTTGTCGATCGATTGAAAGTAATCGCAGTTTTGTTATTATATTACAAACTCTATTGTATAGTTTGTTTTATTTGTTTATAATTTGATACGCGCATGCAATATTATTTCGCTCGTCATTAATATTTCTGCTGCATCTTATCGCTAAAAGTTGCGCATGTTCTTCCATAAAAAGTACAGAGTGTCCTAAAGTAATGAGATTTTATATTTCCATTGCATAAATGGTCTGACACTTTGTTATCGCCATAGGGACATTTTGACACTTTGGATATCTTCCGAAATTCACTGCCAATAGTGAGAGTTACTATGTTTTCTCATTACGCAAATATATTTATCATACTTACAAATATATATGATAGACATTGAGGTCATTTTTCAACATCAAAATGACAGACCTATAATCAAAATATTTTATTCATTCATGAGAACATTAATAGAGCATCTCAATCCAATTTGATTATGTCCCGACATATAGATAATTTATTTGCGTAAGATATATTTTGTGTAAATTATAGCATATTATACATGCTGTTATTATAGCAATATATCTGCATTATGTTTTTTATTAAACAAATTTTCAGTATGCTCATTACTACACTGGTATATCACTCTTAATTTTGCATAACATGATACGTGCAAAGAATAGGATAATATGGAAAAAAATTTCTTGTAAAAGAAAGACCGTTATGATAATAATTAATCCCGAAAAAAAATAATTTCGCGGTGTCTTTGCTATTTTAGAGCGCAATTGTGGCGCTATTACGATTAGTAATAGAATGTAGCTTAAATAATTATTATGTGTGCATGCGTGCGTATGTGTGTGTGTGTGTGTGTGCGTGTATTTTGTCAATAAAAAGATCCACTTGTATCGAAATATTTCTGTGAACGCTGGATTCTTCGATACGATCAATGCGATGATATTAAGGAAATGTCGCCGTTTAAAGGCTTAAGTCCAAAGATCAGCTTAACTGGTCGAGAAGGAAATCATATGTCGCAGCTACATAGTAAACTTTTCTTATGTAGTCTTAATTGAAATAAATGATAAGTGTGCGGGCACAAATAACGGTGCGCTTATTGTACAGAGATTAACAGACTTTGTAGAAAAGTAAAAAAACTATAAGTTAATATATACATATAAGCGGATGCTGTATCGTGTGTAGCGTGTATACATATATACGTAGCGTGATGATGAGTAGACAGTAAAGGCTGTAACGCTAAAAAGAGAAGGAAGACCGGTAGACGGTGCAATATCTAGCGAAGAAATATAATTAGCTCTAGGCATTAGCACGATTAAAAGAAGCGCAAGTAATAAAAATAACTGTATAAAGCCTATGTGAAACCGTATAAAAAGCGTAATATTGTCTAGATCATCGATATCGCGAAGAAAATATATATTATTCGTGCATTATATTTCCCTTTCGCGGTCAAGCTTTTATCGTAGATTGTTCGTTGTAGATTCATGAAACGAATGATCATCTAAATTGTGCGCGACTAATCGGAAAATGTATGATTAATGTACATTTTATGCTCGATGAATTTCAATTTAATTCCATCGCGGAAAATTTAAATAGCAAACGCTCTGTAAACAACAATCATATATAATGAGAATAAGTATTGTTAATTTTTGCATTTATTTCATTTGCCTAGATTATATCGAAATGTGCCTCAAATTTCTTGCGCGTTTCGTGAAAATAATTTTGAAATTAAACAATATTTAGAGATACAAGAATATTAGTAGATTAATTAATACAAGTAAACGATAGATTGAGTATTTGGAACATTTGTTTCTAATATCTCACAATTATAACATCTTGTAATGTATATGATAACGTAAGCACAAAATTAATTTGATATTATTATAGAGTACTATTTCATAAACAGCTATTCAAACAAAAAAAAGCAGCGCAAGATCAAATTAAGAATATACTTGCTATTAAATCATAGACAATACAGCTTGTTTGTCCAATAATTTTTATTTTAAGAATTCTTTAAAATCCTTTAAAAATTTTTTTGTAAGAATTCTTTTGAAAAGCTAATATTTTGATTAAAATTTATATACATTTGATTTTCGTTTACTTCATTATTTTTGTCATTCTTTTTATTTATTACATACATATATATTTATAGTTTATAAGCAATATAATGTATGTTGTGCTAATTACGTAAAAATGCTTTATAATCTACTTTTAGAATAATGCGGCATGTTCTGATTGTGAATATGTGATCGATATTTAGAGATCTAGCCGCCACGCATAATGTCAAATGTCTAATAATGCAAATTGGCAATTACAATTAAAGCATATGTGAATAAAAACTAAGATCGAATGAAGTTGTGACATAGATGTTATCAAATAATCGGTTTTTATTTGGATTATTCTATGTGCAAGCCATGCACAAAAATATAAATAAGTGTAATGATGCGCATCCTGAAGTATAAATGATAATTATTTGAACCTGTAAGTAAAAATGACTATATAATAAAGGGAGACTATGCGATGTACCTACTAGTAAACCTTCTTCCTCTCACATCAATTTTTCCTTTTAAAAATAAAATTATATGTTAATAAATAATGTAAACATAAAACCTAGTTTATATTTTTTTTTCAATTAACATTTCTCGTGCACGTTGATAATAATAATATAATAACAATTTAAAATTTATAAAAAAAACTGTAATATTAATAATACAATAATAAAATTTATTTAGTACTTTAATAAATATACTCAATATATTATTACATTATATTGTAGAAAGTAATATATTATCAATATATTTAAATTTTATAGTTTAGTCTTAATCAAAACATAAAACTTTGAAACGACAGAAATAATAATGATTTATATAAGATTCTGCAACTTTAAGCGTAAAGAATGATAAAAGTGGTGACATCTGACTGGAATTGTACCAACTTGTATATGTAATACATATCTATTAGATTTTCAATAATCTAATGTTTAAAAGAAAACGTTAATAAAAATCTGTTAATCATATAAGTATATTGTTGATTGTTGTAATAATGACATATATTTATTAGAACAGGAGTGTAAGGTTTTGTTAATCAATTATCCGATACCACTATGTGGTATCCTATTCCTTTTGATGATTGGTATACGTATAGGTATTATTGATTGGATGTTGCATATTCAGTTTCGGTTGCTAATGCAAAAACGATTTTAATTAAGAAACAGGTCAGTTGTAAATTGTAAATAAAATAATATCACAAAAAATAATTTTTTATATCCATCTATATGTTTTATATTTTTGCAGCAAAATTAATATAAAGAGAATAAAATATATACCATATGCACATGAGAGCTTAAGGTAACTTAATCTGATTAAATACTGCTGAGATTATTGTATTAAGTTTAACTTTATAAAAACGAATTATATTATAAATAAGACTTGTTCAACTGATGATAACTCGTTTAGTCAATAATGTAGTTAAGTATCAACAAGTATTAAGATATACAAAAGTTCATGTATTATGCATGTTTAAATTATTATAATTATATAATTATAATTATATGTAATATATATAAAGATATATATAAATATAACTGCTAAACATAATATTTTTATATATTTTAATTTATAATTTAAATATGTTCAATCGATAATAATAATAAAACAAGTGTGCACCAAAATGTTGAAAAAAATATTTAGTCTTCACAGAAATCTCTTATAAATTGTTTGTTCTTAAATCAGTACATATCTTATTGATATTATAATTCTAATTAAGAATACTTAAATGGTATTATAACAAAGCTTTATTAATAAA